CGGCAATCGTTTCCCTGCGCGATCTTTCCGTTAGAGTTCGAATCCGAAACTTGGAATTATTACTGAGCTCTCAAATCGAAAATACTGCTTCGGAGCAATTCAAACCTGCGGAATATTCTGCGACTGTTTCGGAACTCCAAGTATTTAATTCGATAATTTACTCTCAAATATTGAAAGTTTCTAGTATTTGATTTGATGATTTCTTTGCTTAACGTTTGAAATATCCAACTTCGCAGTTGATTTTATATTATCGGTTTCAAATATAAAGTTGTTGGCAGTATATAAATCCGGCGATTAATTACGTTTAATAATTTTAATTGGAATCTTCATTATAACATATCACAATATTTTGCGTCTGTTTCGGAACTCCAAGTATTTAATTCGATAATTCACTCTTAAATATTGAAAGTTTCTAGTATTTAATTTGATGATTTCTTTGCTTAAAGTTCGAAATATCAAATTTCACAGTCAATTTTCTAATATCAACAGTTTCAAATATAAAGTTATTAACACCATACGAATCTATCGATTAATTTTATTTAATAATTTTAATTAGAACTTCCGTACCTCCAATATCTATGCTTCAACAAGACTTTCAACTGCGACTAATTTCATTGCGGCACACAAATACCATAGATACCGAAAAAGGAGAAAAAAGCTCGGTCTCCTGAAGCCACTGGAATAACGACTTCCTTTAAGCCACACGCACAGCCGGGAATCGTTCCCCCGAGAATCGAATTCCCAGGATACAAGGTTCGAGAAGGGACTCCCGACATCTTACTTTCCCGTGGCCATCGATTCCGCCCTCGACAGCGAAATTCTCCGGAGTCTACTCTGGCGCGGGGCGGTTAGAACAAGCCCCGAAGCGTAATTCTGGCGCGGATACGCGGCGTAACGGCGGCGGGAAGCCATTAGCCACCGATTCCCGCGAAAATTAGATGAATATCGGGGTCGTCTGAATTCTTGAAAGCGTTCCGCTCGCTTATCGCAATTTATTCGGGGCACGCTTGTAAAAATAACGTGCAAAGGTCCGCCATTTAAGCGGCACGGGACAGGGAAGGAATTCCTCTTGTTCGCCGAGAGGAATTATCCGCCGATTTACGCGACCGGAAGAACACTGCCGACGGTTTATCGAGCGTTAAAAAATTACTTGGCGCGATATAGTGTCGGTCTGGCCGAGGCAACAGTTAATTAACCCTCGGCAACACGAGTGTGGCGTGAACACTGGACTTTCACGGTGTGGACCTTATACTTTTTTAAGATCTGTTTAATGAATTTCACGTGTTACCGGTATATTTAGCTTATCAGCATTTTGAAGAGGAATTCTTATTTACTAGATGTCCTAATTGGTAATCTATTCTTTTAATTATCATTGATTAGAGAAGTAGAAGATCGAAAAGTTTGGTAATTGTATAGTGATGCTGGACAATGTTTTCCAATAATCTCAAGGGGAAATATGAATTTTTATTCACTTGATGTACTAATTGGTAATCTATTCTTTGAAATATCGATTAGAGGACTAGAAGATCGAAAAGCTTGGTAATTATATAGTGATGCTCGACAACATTTTCCAATAATACATTAATCGTCTAAACATGGTAAATAATAAAATTTTCACGTGACAGTTCAATTATTCAAAGTTCCAGATTCTAAAATTATTTTACTAAACCGTTCAGAGAGAAATTTCTATCGATCGAGGAATACGTTCAGCTGAAAGTCAAGATTAATCCGGAAATTCCGTTCATTGCAGTGGTTACTGCAGAAGATTAATATTAAAAATACATAGAAAATTCGGTTCGACGTTCCAGGTCACGTTCCACGGTGATAAATGGTCGAGGAATAAAAAAAAGGAAGAAGCGGAATATTCTACGGTTAATCAGGATCGAACGTAATTTCTTTGCCGGTTATCGGCCGGGCTCGATACTTTCATAGCCGAATGTACACCGTGGCTGAACACGGGCCACGTGACCCGGAATTAAAATTCGTCGAGACCAGGGCAAACAGATTTCCGTGAGGTGTGCAAACGAAACGAATTCGTGTCTCGGCCCCTCGGGGGAGACGGAATATTGCCGCTGAAATATATGAAGTTTGCACTTTTGGCGGTGCGGCGCAGCGCGGAGTGTTACGGTGACGGTCCCGCGACGGAATGTAATATGTCAAATGGAATTATAGAGCAGGGATAGAAGTACCTCGGATGGAACGATGAACACAACATGAATACCCGAAAAAATATCCTCCGCGAGATAACTGAACTCTGCGGGCGCAGTCGGCCGTATTTTCGAAGAAGAAAGTCATTTCTCGTTTTGAGAACCACTCGGCTGCGAACCCTCGCGAAAGGGAGAATGTTTTTTAATAATACCGCGGGCGAGCGTGTAATGTTTAGGGAAAATTATTATGGCACTGCGAACTCTGGCGGAATGTTGAAGAATTTTTAGAACAGGATTCTTCGGGTTTGAGTTTTAGATTAGTTTGACGGTATGGATTGAAATATATTGTAAAGGACTGATTGATTTAGTTGAGAATTGTGCTTGAAAATTATTTGTGAGCCGGTAAGTAATTTTTGGTAATAAAATAAGAGTGGAATGTGAAGGAATCGTTTCGGTATTTTGAATAAGAGAATAATGTTGAAGAATTTTTAAAAGAGAAGCTTCCGACGAATTTGAGTTTCTTCGTGCATTAAGATTGATCGCAAAGATTTGAGTGTGTAATTTAGTTAATCGTCATTTGTGAACACTGCCCACGGAACAGGTGAATATTTTTTAATAACAAAACAGAGAAATGAGTGAAATATTCAAAGGGAATTATTTTGACATCGCGAAGACTAAAAGAATCGCATTAAAGAGCGTCCAGGGAAAGGGGTTTCTTTCAGCTCGAATTTCTTTACGGACGAAAGTGTAACGCGCAGGTTTCAGCGTGCAATTCAGTTGATAATATTCATCCGCGGAAAGTGTTTCACGCGTGTAACAAGTTAACAACTCAGAAGGAACGAGCGCGTTCCCACAGCGAAGCGAAAAAGTGAAAATGGATTCACAAAAGGCCGAAGTCTTTCTTTAGCAACAAAAAGGAACCTGCTTAGCTCCAAGTGGACCCAGTTCCCGTGGAAAAGAACATTTTGTTTTTAATGGAACTCGTTTCCCGCGTGGGAGGGCATCTACATGACAAAAGAAGCGAAGTTTTCCGTCTAACCTCTTAGTCGCAGCGAATGAAGGATCAAGCGTCCCTCGAAAAAACAGGAAGAGACAAAAGGACTTTTGTCGAAAAGGAGATTAAATTTGTGATCAGTTAGCTGTTGCGATCTCTTTGGAAAGTGTACCTTATTTTGACAGGTGAGAATATTCACATCTATAAATAATTTTTCAAAAAATTTTCAGTTCAAGTGATGAATGGCTATAAAATTGGTTGCTTCGAAAATGAATATTCCCTTAACTCATTGGCACAAACCATGGCTATAGCCTGCATACTTTCATTAATAAAAAAAGAAACATTAGTACGCGTTTGTTTATTCGTCAGTAATACATTGAACAAAAATGACGTAGTCTAGATAACATGTAAGTTGATTTTGTGTACGATTTTTCATGACCTGAAGAAGTCGAAATAAACAGTTAAAAGAAACTGCGTTTTAAGGCACGATTTTAAAACTAAAAGTGTGCGGCAATTTTGGAGGAGTACACTCGTCATCGTACGAAGCCTTGGTATTTCTTTATGACGAGCATACTCGTCAAAAACAGCTAACTGGTTGAGGAAGGGCTTCTCGTATCCTCCCACCGACAAGAAGAGAAATCTACCCGCTAGGCAAGAAACGAATGCTCTCCCACGAACTGTTACGTTTGAAAAATCAACCGAATTCTCGTGCGTCGTCGGAAGATGGATAAGGAAAACATTGCCATGAATCAAAGTAGTTCCTAGTTTCACGAGCAAGTTAACTATCCTGCTGAACTTTCCCCTTCCAAACGAAATTCCGAAGTTCTTCTTTGAAAAGATAGGGACGATCGATCTATTGGGTAGATCAAAGTTCTTTTATACGTTCGTGGAAGTTCGAAGAGTAAAATGAAACTCTAGCCACTTTGCTAGACGACATTTCGTGCTGTCGTTCGATAAATTAACGCGTTACCTACACTGCGATCTGAGTTATAAAGCATCGATACAATAAATATCTAAAGACAACAAATGTCAAGCTAACTATCCCTTGAGTCACTCCAACCGTCAACGCGAATCATTAACCCCTTGTCTTACAATGTCGTGTCAGACTCGAGGCGATTTCTAATATGGTTTAACAAACAAAATGTCATTGAGTTGTGTTAAGTTTAAATGAAACATTATTGTTCTTGTTAGCAATTGCTATGGTTTATATTAAATTTAGACATAGGAAGAGCATGGAATGTTTTATTTTACTAGTTCATTATTAACGATAAATAGTTCTAACAAAACCTACGAAATTCAATAAGGCAAGGGGTTGAGGCCCAAATGCTTCCCCCTTTCTACTAGCAAATTCTCTCTTTCCCAAGTTTTTCTAAATCCCATCAAAGTAGAAGAAAAAAATTATTCTCTGCGCTAACACTCCACCGTCAACATCAAATTAAAATCTCCACCTCATTCTACCACATTGTTCTAAATCGTTAGAACAAGGGGTTGGAGGGAAACACTGTAGGCAGAACATACTCTGTTGTAAACATCGATCTCGAGGACTTCTTTTCTAAATCCCATCAACTTAGAAGAGAATTATCCCAACCACTCCGCTATCATCAAATTAAAACCTCCAGCACATTCTTCAACTCGAACTCGCCATCCTATGACTCGATAAAACAAAAATACACAAAAACTAAGCAACTTTGCTTTCCCTCTGAATCCTACAAGATTCTACCCCCTTTTTCACTATTCCTCCCGTGTGTTGTGACAACGTATTATAATATCCATCTAGATGAAAATCTCATCCAGCATTATATTCACGATTAAATCGTTAGAACAAGGGGTCGGAGGGAAACAATGCAGGCAGAACTCACTCTGTCGTAAACAGCGATCTCGGGGACTCCAGGGCCGGCGCAAGTGAGCACGTAATGCGAATGATCGGTGGAAAACTTGGCTGTGTTGTAGAGACACCGGTTCCTGTCCATTTCTCGGCCCGCGTCGCAGCTCAGGCACGTCGGTCTGCGGTCCGGGCCGCGCACGGATATCCTGTACAGATGCTGCACCGCGGACCAGCCCTCTGTCGTGGCCAGGTAGTACCTGAAACGAGACAGGGAAAAAATTTAAGCGTTCATTTGCATGCCCCGACCAGCCCGTTTCTTTAATGGCTTTGTAATCGCGAGAAGAGCCGGGGAATTTGCATCGCGACGAGCCTGCTTTGTTTACAGTATTAACTGACACTGGCTTCCGGCGGACAGTTTTTCATAAGCCCCCTCGCTACCCTCTGCTCTCCACTTCGTCCGCGAGTTTCGGTTTCCTTTGAGACTTCCAAGCCGCACTTCCCTCGCCGGGCACGACTTGTATTATAATTTACATGACCACTTTAGCGCATTAGTTCTGCAGCTTTTCCTCGTGTTCTCTGTTCAAGTTGGATTAAAACCGGCGTAGCTTTTTTTGTTTCGCCTTCCGGTTTGCCGGGGTGTGCTTTAGGTGATTGGGTTGTTAAGATTTTAGTTTGCTGTTTCCTCCTTTTATTCGAGTGTAATGGGCTCTTTGAATTATTATGATTCACCGGGTTTCTTGTTAGGATGTACATTAGCGCTAAAGCTAGTTCAATTGACTTTTTCAGGTTTATCTATGGATAATCTAGGAGTGGATCTATGCAGATATTGATTTACAATTCAGTTGCGTTGATGAGTCAGTTTCTTGGATAATTTCTTGGGCGTGTATCTTTTTAACCTGATTTCATACAGTAAAACCATAAAATTTGATATTTAATATTATACCTCGTACAATGCATCGATCTGAGAAATATTGAAATAAAGTAGCTTTGTTTTTCAATGTATGCATGATTTCTCATTTCGCAAAAAATGTTCAAATATTTCCAGTGAAAAACTTCCGAGTGCAAAGGTTAACTAACCCCCAACGCAGCAAACTTATAAAATTTTCAATTCAATATTAAACCGTGTGTAATGTATCAACACATAAAACATCGAAGTAAAATAGTTCTGTCTCCTAATTTATAGAAGATAATCAATCGTGTTAGTTGCGAAAACTATCGTTAATGAATATTTTTAACGGAAAACATTGTCGAGTGCAAAGGTTAATAATTGCGAAAGGTACCAGGAATGGATTGTTCTGACTCGTCTGGTTTTTTAATTGAAATACTATACCCGATTGAGTTATCGAAGGGTATAAATTGTACTTCTGTGCCTATGGAAATTCAATACCACGGGAAATTGGTGTTCGGTTTTTAAATATCGAGGAATTGTAATATTTTGGAGTGCGCGATCGGTTTATCGAACCGAAATGCGCACTAATTGGAAGCAATTTTTCAATATCGGTTTTCAAGGGAAGTTCATTCGAAATCGTAATTGAAAAAAACCTGTGCACACGTCGCGGGGGAACTTTGAAAATCGGTTAGAAAAGGCCACGCAGGTTCCGTTCGAAAAGTGTGCAATTACCATATTGGCATAGTTCGCGTGCGCCACGCGAAATTTTGTTCAAAACTTTCTATACGCTTAACGAGAAATGTATTTTTAGCCGTGTGCCGTTGCCAGAAATAAACATAACTTTTTTCATTATTTTTGCTCGAGCGTAACTCGACTAACAAACTTACGCTCAGATATCACATGTTGCGAGCGTCGCGTTAAAGGGTCTATAAATAAACCCTTTGCCCGCCGGAGCCATTTTAACATAATATATCCAGCGATTCGACGCCATTTACGAATAACGGTGAACGGAGTTCGATGCATTATGCATTCGAGCTCGTAAAATCGATTGAAACTTTTATCAACTTATTGAATTCAACGAGATGCCGCAGCAGAAACAATTACGGAGACTCTCAGATAATCGGTAATTACAATCTATCTTCTGACAATATTTAATTTAATTTAATTCTGCTCACAACTAAGATACATAGTTTAGTTTAACCCCTCACTGTACAATGATGAGTGAGACTCGTGATGAATGTTTCGGGATTAGTTTAAGCTAAACAACTTTTGTGGATATTTACCAAAAATGCGGAAGTGATTGGGTGTGTATGCAAAAAAATGAGTAAGAGTACTTATCTAATCAGATCACAAATATTGTGTTATTACAAAAAAAATATCAAAAAATAACATTTATTCAAATAAGTTTACTTTGATTTATTTCTTGAAGAATACTAATACTAGCTTGACATACTAATTCTTTCATGAATTCTTTATTTTTTCACATAAACATGTAATTCTTGTTTGTTTCGCTTTGATCATTCATTAAAATATACTCTACGTGCATTCGTCCTGCGTTCGACAAGTACACGCTCCATTTTTTATTTTATTGCGCGAGAACGAGAGGTTTTCCGACTAAATTCCGCAGTTAACTGGTTAAATAAAAATACAAATACTCCAATTAATTTATCTATGAATTATCGTTAAATTAGTTGCAAACTATATGACCTATATCTCGTCAGAAAATGCTGAATACTTCCATTGTTCCTAAGTTTACGGGCATTTATTGTACAGTTTATTTTATTGTTTTTGGGGAAGTTGATATTCGTTCATTTAGATTTTGGAAATTGTAGATGTAGAAATAGACAATCAGGATTCATATTCGTGTAATTGGATCAACGAAAACCGATTGGAAAATTTACCAAATAATGTTTATAAAATTCAATCTGCGTCAAATTGACGCATTCCGTAAACCTAGTGTTAATTGCTCTTGTGCAAAGAGTAGAATATTTCCACGAAAATTTCAGGTTTGCCGAGTCTCCCAGGGTTTTTTAATAACAACAGGAATATCAATATTTCGCAACGTTAACCTCTTAGTTATTGTTGGCCCCAGAATCCCAGAGTATCTTATCTAGCGCAATTGGCAAAGAAATCATAGGATGACGAGTTAATTTCAATTGGAAGTCATTGTACGATCGAAAAGCATTGTACATTCGAGTCGACAAGGCAGCAGCACGCTCCGTCACGTAAATGTTTTGAAGGTGAGGGTCAAGTTTGGCAGGCCGTATGTCAGACGTAGCAATTCGGAGCTGTTAAGTCTGATTTATGTATGCGCTCCGACGGCGTCGGCGCGCAGCCGACGGAGCCGCGCGAATTGGCTCCATTTGCATTAATGCGGATCGATTGCCGGCAGTTAATCAATGCGTGATTAACCCGAATTACGGAGTTCTTTCCCCAGAGGTGAATTCGCACTGGTTTCAGGGCAGTCACCGATACCGGCGAACCGGGTAATGAAATGCAACGGAGCGATCCTTCTCCGGAGGAAAAACAGCTAGGCTCCATTATTTCGAGATAAACTTAATCCTCGTTATTAACCCCTTGCCGTATGATTTATTTTTTAACTGTGATCGATACAACTGCTTTACATTTATATTATCATTTACTAGGATAACGAAGGATTTTTATGCTTGTTCTATGTATATGTTTATTCCAAAGGTGCACTTTTAATAATAGAAAAGTAATATTTAAAGAAAATAAGTAACACTTGGATGTCTGAAATTCAATTTACAATTTTCACCATAATTTTGATATGATGTATGTCAAGGGGTTAACACGTTCCGTGGCAAGGAAATTTCGGTTATATGTTTTTTAGGAACTGTATTGATGTTTTTAATAAAATATTAATTTATATTCGAGTTTTTGGTCATTTTTATACATTTTGATAACAAAAAGAACAAATGCGAGCAAAAAGGTTTCATGCAAAGTGTTTGTTGAATTAGAATTCACTTAGAGATCTAAGCTTTGTTGCAATTACAGTCAATAACATTTCACGAGCGCCGATAATGCACCGGAACTAAATTTTTCAAGCGCCTTCGGGCGTCAACAGTAATTAAGGGGTTAACATTGCGAAATGTTGATACTCCTGTTGTTATTAAAAAGCCCTGGGAGGTTCAGCAAATCTTTGCACAAGAACAATTGTAGTATCGAGAATATTTATTGTAGGATGAATGGTTTGTTGTGCGTGCGTGAGGGCGACCAGGTCGTATTGCGACGGACCGGCGCCGGGATGTTTGGGAAATAGTGTGACTGCGTTTAGACAATTTCGAGTGGCTGAAAGAATGCGAGGAAGAGTATCTGGAACTGAGCGACTGAACCGTGAGAAAAGTGTGTACGTGACTGCGTGAATTTTGACCATGGACGGAAGATGCGAGTGAGAAGGGTGCAAGGGTGAGAAAGACAGAGCGAATGGGGGTGTGTGATAAAAGCGAGTGGAAATGCGTGCATGGGGACATTTTGGTGAGCGACAGCGGAGTAGAACATTTTTGGTGCGAGAGTCGTGTGTTGTATTTTACGTGTTGTCCGTATTGTTTCCTTTATCTTATTAAATATATTGTTGTTTTCCTAATTCTCTTTTTACTAAAGATCCACATTTTCAAATATCATCTAATAGTAAAACCACTACCATATACTATACAATTAAACATTTGTTCTTTTGTGTTCCTTCTATTATTCATATTCTATTGAATAAGTAGGTTGTTCATTTAACCCTTTGCACTCGAAAGTGTCTCAATGGAAATATTCAACATTTTCTGACGAGATATAGGTCATATTGTTTGAAACTAATTTAACGACAATTCATAGATAAATTAAGCAACAGAGGTGTTTTATTTAAATATTTCACGTAGCAATGCAAACTTTAACTTGAAATATTAAATATTCAACTTCATAGTTTTGTTGTATCGAAAAAGGGTTAATTATATGGATTAATTATATGAAACGACGTGTACTATTTATATTTTTCATATTATTAACGAATATCAGTGAAAATTTGGTATCCTCGTGTACAGAGAAGTTAATCTTCTATGCAACAGCAATATTATACACTTATTATACGTGTTCTTCATTTATTCTCTTTCATTGTCCTTCGAGTCTCGCGGTTTTAAGTAAATAAGCTATTCAGTTTGTAATACAGGCTTTATACGCCGGAATCGAATTCCATGTTTATCACTGAAATCCGTATGCTTTGCTCGCAGCAGCCGAAGAGCTTAAAGAACAAAACGACGGTCCCGATAGAAATTCATTCTTCTTTATATCCTGATTAATCCGAGAGAACTGTCAAAGCTTGGAATAAAATCCTGGATATTACTCAACTTTCCTGAGTTCAAAGAA